CCTTGTAGGACCGTAACATCAATTAATTGATAAGGACTAAAAAAAAAATTTTTATGTCTGAAATTAATGTTGTAGGTGTATTATCGCACTGATCTATTAAGATTATATTGGGTGCGCGTTAATTCGGGGCGCACATGGGCATTAATTTGAGATCACATATGCTATTTTAGGGTGATAGCTAAAGCCAGGTGCGTTTATATGTTTTTAGACACTCGTTTCTTGTATTTTTGACGTTTTTCACTTTTTTTCTTTGTTTTTGTCTCGTCGGGCTGACCCGGGTTAATCAAAATTTATATTTTGATTGGCTGTTTGTCACGTGGGCGCACCTGGCTTTAGACGGACCCGTTTTTTACACTTTTATCGATAGTTACTCTCGACGATCGTTAAACCAATTTCAATAAATCTTTCGATCTAGCTAGAAGTTTTTTTAAAAAAACTTCATAATAGCCAATCACAATTAAGGATTCGAAGGTTCTAGATTGCAGATCAGTGAAAATCTGTTGGCCCTCCATACAAATTAAAGTTTTTTTTAACTTTGAGCGAAGATATCTTGACAACAACCAAGCTAAATTCGATGAACTTTTTTTATTCGAATTCTATGAATCCATAAATTCAAATTAAAAAAAGTTCATCGAATTTGGCTTGGTGATTGCCGAGATACCTTCGCTCAAAGAATAAAAAAAAATTCATTGCAGCTATTTTGATAGACTTTTTGAGTTTTTTAAGTATTTGAGCAAAGATATTTCGACAACCACCAGGCCAAATTCGATGAACTTTTTTTATTTAAATTCTATGGATTCGTATAGTTCAAATAAAAAAAAAAGGACATCAAATTTGGCCTGGTGGTTGTCGAGATATCTTCGCTCAAAGTTCAAAAAAACCTTAATTTATATGGGGTATGAATATCAAATATGGGGAGTACAAATATCATTTCCCAAACCTTCCCGGATATTATACAATTTTTACAAGATTTTTTTTTGTAATATACCCTGAAATTATTTAAAGAGAATATTAAATTAGGATGTACTAAAGGCAGTGTACATGACAATGAAATTATCAAGTATAAATTTTTATATATTTCACAATTTTTTTTTTTTTGTGCTTGAATCGATCTTTTATCGACGTATATTACATTTTTATTTGCTTCAACATTTGTAAGAATATAACTCATGACTTGTAAAATCGAATATCAGAGACCTTCTACAAAAGGAAAAACAAGCAAAGTTTGACGGATAGATGTTTTATATGGAGTGACCAAATATATTAAATTTAAAAAATTCAGATTTTTTTGATGTAACCCAACACCTAAACAGTGGGGTAGCTAATACTTTCAAGACCCATTGTATTATTATGACTGAAAAACTACTCATACTTAAGTAAGAAAGATAGAATTAATTTTAAAAAGTAAAATTTCTACGTTGTGCAGTGCATCAAGCAACTAAGCATAAAGTCAAAAAAACAAATTTCGGCACTAAGTCATGCTCTTACAAAAAATAATTCATTAATTCAAAAAAAAAATGTAGATGTGTTTTACGTGGTTAATACAAAGTTCTTTATTATGTTGATAAAACAAACATGAGTATTTGAATCAAATTTTAGATATAAAATTTTCACAAAAAATCTAAAATCTCAAGTGCCAACTCAAATTTTCTAAAATTTTTAAATTTTAGAGCTAAAATTTTTTACAAATTTTCATTTTACATTATAGTTTGTGATATGTATTTTATTTAACTTCTAAGACATACAGTACGCATCTAGTTTGTATTGTGTATTGATATCATGATCTGGAGACATAAATTTATTTGACTTAATTCCTAATCGTTTTTATATTAATTATTATTTGGTCAGGATTGTAATAAATCAAATTTATTTGGTTTCCGATTCTTGTGCGGCTTTCCTGCTTATAATAACATTCTTCAAGGCAATCGGAAAATTTAAAGTACTGAATCATCGAAGATGCTTACAATATTGTATTTTAATAAACAAAAGAATGAACTTATAAATTTTTCTAAATTTAAATTTTGTTAAAATTTATTAAATTTAAATAAAATTTATTAAATTTTTTTTAAATTTAAACTAAATTTTTTGTTGTTATATTCATTTGATTATGCAGATTTGGTTTGTATTTAGCATTTAGGCAAGTGTGAAATAATTCTTTTTCTCATGCTATAAATCTCATCGTTACTATCGGAAATATCAAATTTCATATTATTGTCAGATTTAAAAACTAATAAAATCTTATCATTTTTTCCAATCATTAATAGTTTATAAATTTCTAAAACTAATGGGCATTTTCTGGACTTTAATCCCAACATTTCTTTAAAAAATCAGCGTAACACATTGGTGTGCTTTCAAGAATATTTGGCCCTTATCCTCCGCAAATATCCAATGCTTATGACAGAAAACACAACTTTCCCTGATGAAATTTCCAACACAATCATTCCAAAAGAATAAATATCTGATGCTTTTGTAAATGGATCTCCGGTAAAATTTTTGGCGCTATGTATTGCAATAACTCCATTTAGATCTTATGTTTGTTTTATTGACGGATTTTGCAAACCCTATGCCACCAATATATGCATTATTTGAAATATATTTACACTATGTAAATCACAATGAAATAAGAGTAGATCATCAAGGTTGGACGCGATATACGTATCTATCTATCTATTATATATCTATTATCTATCCATCTATCTATACTACTAAAATTTTAAGCGCCATCAGTTGATTGTTTAATTATTTTTCGTGAGTTTTGAGAATGTATTAAAGCCAATTGGGATTAAGCGACTAGATACGGTTAAGCAATTAATTGTTAAAATCTTTTAAACGGTTTCAAATCCTAATTACAAAAAATTAAAGCAAATAAAACTTTTAAAATAAAAAATTCAAATAACTATTCAAAAAAAAATTAAATATTCTAAATTAAGTACAACATTTGGACGTACGTACCTAACGATTAGTATTGAATTAATTAGTAACGTATTTGTTCCGAAATCAGTGATCTATTCATCATATTTATTTTATTTGTTAGCTTATCTATATAATAATGAATACTTTTACAATCGTAAATTTTCTTTTTTTTTAAAAAAAAAAAACGATTGTTTATTTTATCTTCGGATAACTCCTATTTCATTTTCTGATTTAGAAATTCAACCAAAAATAGAACTTTTCAAACTCCCACTCATTTTCAAAATAAGTTAACCTAATACATTTTTTTTTCCATTTCATTTGTGCAACATTGTGACGCAAAGACCCATTTGCGCATACGCGCTAAATATAATTGTCTGTGGCTTCATCCTTTGATATTCCATGACATTGTAAAAAATGTAGAATTTTTAGATTCAAACTTAAAAAGAAGTTAAATAAGAAACATGAATTTATTTGTCATATAGTATAGTACATTAAATTATAACTATTTACTGTATCTCTTTCAAAAGTTCATCAATGCTCCATGAAATAATTTAAGTGCAATACGATGACTTCGGGTCTATTACATTCAAAACCTATAGTGGACCGGGTCTTTTATATGACCGTTTACGGTACCTGTGGTTGAATGCGTCCAATAAACATAATACACAGTTTCAAGCCCGTCTTTTCCGATTTTTTGTACAATTTCTAATTCATTAAATGGAATCCATTGTATTAACTTGTATGTTTTTTGCTATTAATTTTGCAATAAAATAAATAATATACCTATTATTATACAAACAAACAATAAGGGGTTTCAGAGTTAGAAAAAAAATAGCGTATTTTGAAAATAATGAGAATTTAAAAAATCTTATTTGTGTATCAAAAATTTTGAAATCAGAAAACGAAATGGGAGTGTTTAAAGACTCCCATTTGACGAAATAAGTAAAATTTCTTCGGATTAAGTTTATTATACGCGACCCATCTATTTGGCACGTAGGGCATGATGAATCATTCTAAGTGACTAATAATAATCAATTAATGAAATTGATTAATGAATGCTTATTCGTCATATGAATTATTCGTCACACGTCTGTGTAGGTCACCTATAATCGACTAAATCCAACTTCCCCAGTCATTAATTTAATCTATCGGAAAGAGAAATAAAAATTAATGCAACCTATATGGAAGCAATCAAAATTAGATTTCTGCATTTTAATTCTATATACGTACGTTGCAAAATTTGGATTAAAATAGTTATTATGAAACCAAATTAATGTATAATATATGCCTTTAACTTATTCTTTGAAAGTAAGCAATAAACCTTTATCTGATGTTTAGCCGATATTTTTTCCAGGGTAGTTTAACAACAAATCAAAACGAACTTCTGCAATACTAAACCGATTCAATTTTGGAGCAATTAATTAAATACGGATTTTATAAATGAAACCGGTTCTAACCTCTAATTATAAGGATAATCCTTACTAAAAACAGCCAAACAAACCTTTAAAAAAGAATTCTTGAATGTAAACAATAAACAAAAAAACCAGGTCGGAAATGATTTGCAGCCTGAATACTATTATTGTACAACACGTTTCGCAATAGTATTTATGTGTAAAGGTATATATAAAAGACTGCCTTTCCCTTGCTATCTTTATTCGCTCTTACTTTTCCTATTTTAAACTTCGCTAATTCGCAAGGTTTGGCTTTGAGCGAGAATGGAGAATCGTAACGTTTTCATTCCACACATTCCACATTCTTGGCTACTCTTTTGGCTATTAAAGTCCGTGATCTATTGGAGCTATGGTTATTTCACATCTTTTTCTGTTCCCCTTATTGTATATATTTTGAATAGCATAAATCATTCTAGTGCTATTCCATTGACATTAGCTATATGTTTTCTTTCAATTTTTAAACTCTTGTTCTCTGACCTAAAATTCTATAATTTCATTATACCATTTAGTACCTTATTTATATTTCGTACATTTTGGAATCCAAATCCTTTCTTTGTTTTTGACACATACTTTTTTTCAACATATTTTATCATTATTGTAATTCAATTCCTCTTGAAGGTTTTTTTATGGATCAATATGTTAATTTGCCTTAAAATTCCATCTTTCAGCCAAATTTTCTTATACTACCCCGAAATCTTCATCGCACTTTATTCCAATGCTCTTTCTCGCGTCATTGGAGGTTTTGAATCTGAGACTATTATCAATTTATGTACTTCCAGAATTCAAATAGTCGAGATTGGTAAAAAAGCTTTCTTAAATACAAAAGAGAAAGGAACCGAGGAAGAAACAAATAAAATTGATGTTAAAAAGCTTCACATATATTTATTCTTTGGTTATTTGTTGTTGCCTTGTAAACACTCAGGAACTTTTAAATTTTCCGAGCATAAATTCCCTCTGTTCCGTCCAGAAAGATGTATTATAGAACTTTGTTATCTTATGTTAAGATTATGTGGCTGTACATTTATTTGCTCAACCGCTTCCTTTTTGACCTATAATATGTTAGTTTTTACTAATAATTCATCACCTGATAAATTTTCCGTATTCCTTATGCTCGCTCTGGTTTTTCAGTTAGTATCAATCTTTGCTTCTGCAAGGCATTTCTATCTATTTGTCTATACGTGTATTAGTTTCTTTTATTTGATTCAAAGTTTACCCACCGATCACAAATATGATTACGTACAATTTGAAGTCAATTTTATTTTACCAAGTTTTTATTCCATTATAATAATTAGTATATCAATCCGTCTATTTCTATTTTTTCTCATTTTTTTAACCGGTAATCAAATTATTTATCCTTCTCTCGCTTCCACTGTATTCGAAGTGCTCCTTACACTAGCATTATTAAGACCTATTTCCAATGCTGAATCACAAGCTATCGACAAATGGTATGATAATCATTCTACCCGTGTAAAAGTGTCCATCTGCCGCAAAAATCCTGCAAAAAATCATATCGAAGTAATACAGGTGCCCGATCCGGAAAAAGAACCAACATCTGATTTAGAAAATCAAGCAATACTCCTGGGAATGCAATTAAACTTTGAAGAGGATGACAACTTTGAAGAAGAGGAATTAGACATTTTCAATTTTATGATATATTTATTACTCGAGATGAAGTTTTTTGCACGTTTGTGTAACAAGAGATGTTCTCGACTCCATAGGAAGACGTTCATATGATTGGTTAATTTTTATAGATCTACCCGTGATTACCCAAGAAATCATATCAACGAATTCATACCAGCGAAACGATATTACCCAATATACATTATAAATTAAGCAATATCACATATAATTCTCTGGTTATTACTCGTATTCTTAAACAATACCCCTATTTTTCAGCCAATACAACCATGACCTTACTGTCTTCAGTCTCTATTATTAATTAATAATACACGTACAGTACATATCTATACTAAAGCCATACTTATATTTATCTACTTAATAAGCATCTACACAATATTAAAGTAATATATGTATTAAAATTGTTGAAAAAAGTATGTCGAACTTAAAATACGATAAGTTAAAAGCTTATATTATAAGAGTTTTTTTTTTAGAATCTACCTTAAATGTCTTGATCGTTCGTTTATTCGACTGTTTTTTTTGCATTCAGTACTTGTATATAGCTAATAAAGATAATAATGATATAGTTATAGTAATAATAACAAAAAATTCGCTTCTAAATGAAGTTCTTGAGGTTACTGATTATTTTTGATTATTCTTGCACAGTGAATATGAACGTTCTTTCGAAGCTAGAAATGGTTACATTCTCAAAAAAGTACTTTAAACTGTATAAATAAGTTACCGGACAATTGATTTACATCAGCCAATCATATGAAAGTCTTCCTATGGTCACCGACTGCGGTACCCATGCTATAATACCCATGAGAAAGACCCGAATACAATTCAGATAATCAAATTATTGTGCTATTGCTGCGCCAGTAGCACCGACAGATTTTCACTGATCGACATAAATTGACCAATTAGATTTTAAGATCAGGTGTAACGTGAAAATCATGCGTTTTTTTTAAAATAGCAAATAACTCGAAATTTTATATATGAAACTACTTACTGTGCATTAGTAAAAAAAATTCCTTGCCAAATTTTGGTATAAAAAATTAAAAGTCGTTGTTTTGATCAAATCTGATTGGTGTCGATCAGTGAAAATCTATCGGTACTACTGGGGTAGTTATGAAGATTCTATCACATACAGAGGCGTGTAATATCGCGTTATTGCACAAATGCGGTAGAGATTAGAGTTCTACAAGTAAACATGCCAGGCACTGTTGGCACTATGACAGGCATAAATACTAGACATGCCAGCCTATACAATGTATTATAGGACATTTACTGTATATGATTGGTTAATTTACATCGCCTAAATAAATTTAATACAATGGAAACCTTACCGTTGCACTTTGTCTATAACACATTTAAAGCTTAATTTTTATATATTTTTAACAGAGTATTAAATACTTTTTTGTGATATAACACAATAATAATAATGATTTTAGGAGTATATTAATATTTATTGTTTCAATATATATTTTAATAAATTTATATATAATATTTAAATTTAGTAATTTTTATTGTCTAATCCTTTCATTATAGTAAATATGGTTTTATAGAACTCGCTAACAACTATTTACCAATGATCTATATCTATCCAACACTAACCATAAGTTAGGCCAACCTTAACCTAAATTGGGCCTTTATCTTTAGATACGCACATATATAAAGATACATATAATCAATTACCGAATTATTATAGCATGACAATAATAACTTTATTTTACTTGATTTAGTAATCTAAATACCAATATACAAATGAGTAATAAATTTGTTTAATTACAAATAAATCGAATATATTACTTACCATTGGGGATTTCATAATCAATAAGGTGACTAAGTTGGTTTACTAAAATACATAAATATAAATATACTAAAACTACAGTTTAAATCCAATTTAAGAAAATAAATATTATTACCTGCATTTACTATATTGGCAGATTCAGAAATTTTACAATTAATAACATGTTACTGATTTTTTAAAAATAAAAGTTAAATGTTATTACCTGGTGTAAGGTCGGAAAAACGTGACCTAATAATCGCTGCGCCAACTCACGTTACCCGGTTGTGACGATCTCTTGCCCTA